CTTGGTTGTGAAAAATAACGTGGATCAAGAAATAACAAGAAATAATCCAGAGAAATGTCTCAAAAAGGCCCATATGGATTCAGAAACTGACGCTAAAAATCTAGAGAAACATCTCAAAAAGGCCGCTTTAGCAAGGGCTTGTGTGCTCATGCCCCCAACTGTCTATTTGACCCCAGAACTAGGAGGTTTTTTGTCATTCTTTTCCAATGAGATATATGTTTGGTTTGCTCTTAACATTTTCTTCTCTTCTTTCAGGTGAGACAGAGGAGAGTTTAGAAGAAAAATTGAGAAGAGGACAGTGCGTAGGAACTTTTTACAATTGGAGTGATGATGAAGAAACATGAGGTAACAAACATTATAGCTATCGCATCTCATTGTCTTTAATTATGAATTATCATCTCAAACTTCAGCTGTAATCAATATCAGAATTTCAGCTGCCATTTAATTGTCTTCACTTTGCTCTTTCTAAGTGATGAAATCAGTGTCGAAATGGAACAAAATTTTCCACATTATTCAATTAAGTGTTTTTGTGTACAATATCAACATAACATAACAGGTCTGCTCTTCTTAAATAGCTGGACAATCTGTTTTTTAGCTTGTCAACTTATTTGTCACCAGATGAGGAGAGGGGGTATGACACCTTTACAGGGTTTTGCCTCTGATTGTTCCTTTAAGTGACAAGCATCTAATTTCTTCCCATAGTATCACCCCTGGATCACACATTAAGGTTATGAGAATAAAGGAGATGATCACCAACCAAAGAAGGTCTTGCTCTTGATTGTGAAATAAATTCTCCTTGCCTTTGGAGATATTTAACAAATTGAGAAGCCTTGACTGTCCTCTGTTCAGTCATAAAGCACACACAAGGCAGCTGGAGCATGAAAGAAGTGTAGATAGAAACATAAGACATAGTCAAGACATAGTCTTAACCTTTAAGTCCCACAAGTGACCAAGACAGAATTTCTCCTTACACTATCTCTACAATATCAAACAGATAAGTAATGAGAATAAAGAAAAATATCAATTGGGGAATTATTGTTTGATCCAATTCCAAATTCTCCAAAATACCATCATATAAATTGTATGGCAGACAGTAAGGAGAATTACTGATGACATCTTGGGAGTTAAAGGGTGTTAAATAAATGTGATATTGTGGAAGCTTAAGGAAAATTGTTTCCTTGAAAAAAGAGCATTTTAGCATTTGAATCAGCAACTTGTGCCTAAAAGAGCTGCTAACTTTGCAAAGTGACCAAGCTGTGAATTACAACACCTAGAGTTATTCAACAGAATGATGGAATGGAGGAATGGTGGAATGGCAGAATATCCTAAGACATAGAAAGACAGAATCTCCTAAAACATTGGATGCCTGGCTGTGCAAAACAAAAGTCTCACAAATGGAATTGCAGATTCTTTGAAACTCTAGAAGAAAATCTGGAAGAAAACATTCCATTTTTTATTCAAGTGATGATGAAACAAGTGTAAATTACTGGCCTACTTGTTTTCAAAAAAAAACTCTGACTGTCCATTCAAATATACTTCAATTTAGCTGTTAAGTTTTATGTTTTCTGGGTGGTGTGATAGCTGGGTGTCTCAGTGAGTTACCTTTGTTGTAGTTAAATGTGATATATCCTTTTATTGTTGGAAATTTAATATGGTGTATTCTCTTTTTTATAGAATATAATCCTTCAAAGGAGGATTGAGATGAATTACAAGTCTACCAGTGATAGCAATGTCAGTGGTGTATTGTACACTTGAAATATTCCTTGTTTTTCCTAGTTGGGAGTAAGGAGCCATTAGTAATATTTTTGATAAAATTTAGGATTGTAGAATTAAATGATTACCTTATTAACGAGGGAATCCTTAAAATAAATGTTGTCTATTTTAGAAAGATTCCCCTAGGATTATAAATAAAACATGGAAGTTGCTTGACTGTGTGGTTGACCCTTTAATTCCCATGAGTGACCAAGACAGAATTTCTCCTTACAATATCAGTAAAATATCAACCAGATAAGTGATGAGAATAAAGAAAAATATCAATTTGTGGATAGTTAGTTGATCCAATACTGAACTCTCTGAACTAACATTATAAGAATTGTATGGTTGACAGTAAGGAGAATTACAAATTTGATCTGGGAGTTAAAGGGTTAAAGGTAGAGGAGATTAACATGAGTTACAAAGTTTGAACCAAGAAAAGGTCTTGTTCTTGCTGATGAGCAAAATATGATTACTGTTCCTACAATATTGATTGTTACATTTTTAGACTTTTATTGTTTATTTGTTTGTTTTCTTTTGTTTTGTTTTTTAATTAAACTTCTTTTTTTTACCATGCAGCTCTCTCTAGTACGGTACCTTTGAGATCAAAAGAAAAATTATGCAATTAAATAACTATTATTCAGTGTGACAACACATGAAAAGGTTATTAATGCATGGCCTTCTTTTAATCCTTTAAGGAAGCTCACAACCCCTGTTACAGTGGTTCTCACTATTTGCATAACTCAGAAATTTAAAATAGATATATCTCATTAGATATTTTGTTGTGAAGTATCCCTAAGTATTTTTCTGAGTTGTTCTGTATTTTGATGAACCCATGCAGCTGACTGGTTTAACACCAGGTTTTTACAGTTAAAAATAACCGACTGTCCAAATATCAGGTGATATTTGTAATCTAGTTGGTGCAGTTGGATAATGAAAGCTTTCTCAGTCATTGTAATTAGTTATTGGACATTCTATTTTTACTTATCAGCATTGTACAGTTCATATTTAACTTTTTTTAGAGGAGTCAGTCAAAAGACTTAGTGGACCCCACCATAAACAATGGAAACAAAGGAAAAATAAAGTTGAGCATGTTCAACTTTTAATGTTTTTTTTTTCTAGTGATATCTTACATGCAAGGACCATGCAGGGGGAGGGGCTGGGTGAGGCTTTAGCCCCCCTCCAACCCCCCACTTTTTTGCAAAAGTAGAAATAAATCAAAACAAAAAATAATTTAACAAAGATAACAGAGCCAAAAATAGCCCCTCCACTCAAAAACTTGCTGTACAGTCCCTGACATGTTCTCTTTGCAAAGGTGTAGGAAATGAACTCTTTCTGATGGAATGTGTATAATAAAGGGATTTTACAGTACTGCATCAAAAAGATACCAAGCTTTTGTATCATAGTGCCTTTCTTTTCATAGCAAATTTCATAGAAATTGCAATTCAAGCTCTTGTATAGTTTACAAGTGCTCCTTAAGATTGTATTTGAACTCCCATCAAGAGGCTGAATAACAGTTATTCCCTTAACCTGGAGGTAGATAGTTTTGAAGAGTACAAGTTGAAGTAAAGCATCAAAAATTTTAACCCTTTCACTTCCAAGATCTTATTAGTAATTCTCCTTACTGCATCCCATACAATTCTTATATTATAAGTTCAGAGAATTTGTTATTGGATCAACTTATAATCCCCTCTGAATTTTTTTTCTTATAACTTGTCTGCTTGATATTGTATTAATTTGATGCTGTATGGAGAAATTCTGTCTTGGTCACTCATGGGAGTCAAAGGGTTAGGTATCTATGCAAGATTCAATTGAGCTGATGCAAAAATTTGACTTAAAAAAAATGCTTGATTTTGCTTCTGATGAAAAAAGCGTAGATGAAGACTAGACTATTGCTTTTGAATGATTGTAAACATAGATGAAGACTAGACTACTGCTCTTAAATGACTGTAAACATTTGAAAATCATCTATGTGAACTGCGATTTAAGAAATGAATTTGGAAGCAATCTTCACAATAATGAACAGGCCTTTTACGGAAGTTGAACCATGACCTCTGTGATACCAATGCAGTGCTCTACCAACAGGGAGCTGGTCGTTATGTTGGTTCGTGATAAACCCGTAAAGTTATCGTTATTACTAACATCGATTGCTATTACTAACATCGATTGTACTCTTTAAGTGCTGCACTAACCATTGAGGAACTAAAGGAAAACCAGGCCACACCACGGCTGTCTATACACATACGAGCGATAGGATGAGAAAGATGGTAAGTTTTGAGCTCGGTAAAGAAATAGTGAAAGATATATTTTGTCTTGTCACGCGTGGGACAAAGAAAAAATTCTCAGAACTCGCTGATCGTAGAGTCACTGTGGTTCAATGATAAAGCATCGATGTCGGAGCGCGGAATCCGAAGGTCTGGGGTTCGATTCCTCATGGAGACTCAGAGTTTTTTCTATGTCCTACGCTCGTAACAAAGACGAAAAATATAATTCACTATATACGATCGTTTTGTAATGTTGAGTTTAATTCGTACAACAGCTGCGGGACGCAAGATGTTTCTCAATTTTTTTTAGTCTGTCTGTCCGTAGCCTGTCCTTAGCGTGCTTTCTCACCATCACCAGAACAGTGTGATCAGTACAGAAGGGAAGAATAGGTTTTAAAACGATCTGTTCTTCCGATTTCATAGACGCACGGAAAGTTATACGATTGGAGTGATATCAATGTATTTTTCGCACAAAATAAGGTTAAGTAAAAGGTAATTTGTCCCTCTATGAGTTTATTTTCCATCTTTTTTACAAATTGTAGCTCGAGTAGTTTTGATTGTCCTTTAGATATATACTTTTCTATATCTTTTTCCTAATTTTTGCCATCGATCGATTGTAGTAATTTTTTCAGAACGCTAAATCAGAATTTATAGGAAAACAGACGTGCAAACAAAGAAAATTTTCAGTGTTAAATTGGAAAATAAGACTTGTTTGAAAAGCTAACTAAATACAAGCAAGAATATTGCAGTATTTATTCGAATAATAAAGTGGTTAGATTTTTCATGTTCCTCTTAGTCGTTCGAATACTTTATTTTGATGCTATTTCTGTCCTCGATGCGCATTGGTCAGTTTTAACTCCGATCCCAGACCATCCGACTATACATGAAGGCGTGGTGACATAGCTAATTTTAAGAACATGTGCAAACCGACGAGAACTGCGACTCATGGAGAAAATTTTAGCTCTTATAGCTGTATCTCTTGGAAAGAAAGTTACTGTATATGCAGTGGGAAGGGTGAGTATGTGCATTTTTTGTTATGTGATTGATTCTGTTGCTCTGAGAGAAATTTTATGTAAGGTATATCCATTTCTAGGAAATAGTGCTCTGATCTTAATGGAGTTTACATCAGGTGATTCGTGATGTTTGTGAAGTTTAATGAACTCCGATCATAGCAGACATTTTGTGTTTCGACTGCTTATGAAAAGGTGACTTGATTTTTGCTATTTAAATTTGACATGTGGTTAGATTAAGAACGGAACCGATCGATGATTCGAGTGAACTGGCTACATGTAGCTGAGTCAAGGGTGACGTAACAGTTCATTTAGTTACAAAATACTACACATCATGCCTGGACAAATATTGCAGCTGTTATAACCGTCTCGTCTCACTAGGTTAAAGTTCTGCCGTTAATCTGCCGAAATACCCAAAACGAAACTGGCGGATGTCAATAAGCTCATGAGTTTTAGAGTTTGGTGCTTTCCATACGAGCCGGGTAGCAAAGCTGGCTTGTCAAAGGACCAGTCTATTGTCATCTGTTCATGTCAGAAATGTCATCCTCTTCACTACGCCGAGATTTTAGATCAGTAACGCAATTTTTTCAATTAGAAATTTCAGCCTGGTTAACTGAGATAAACATTGTGATATCTTTCCAAATTGATCTCAGTAAGTGAGATGAAGTGTTCATACGGTGTATTGGAAAATTTCCTAAACAATTTTCTTGTCTCTCGACAAGAGGAAAAAAACATCCTTCTCTATTTCTTTATGGAGTTTTAAATCTACTGTCTTTCTTATTCTTTTTACATACATGATGCCTTTGACAGGACATGTGTCACATGTGAATGTCATAATGGCATAGCTCACCATAGAGTCTCTGTAGCTCAGTGGAAGAGCAGCAGAGCTTGGAATCTGACAGTCTAAGGTCTGATTCCTCATGGGAACTCATAATTTTTCTTCACATGAAGTTCATGCCAAGACAAATAAATGTCTCACTCTACTTTCATACTTCTGTAAAGGCTGACAAGATTTAGAGATCACATTGATAGTTTGTAAGCCCAAGGCCCTCTTACCAGTAGACTGTGGTTGTAAGGGCAAGGAAATCAGTCTCAATTTTTTTTTTGTCTCTGATTTGACAGACACAAGGGACTCTAAGGGATTTTACTAGGACTGTATTTAAGTATAGATCCCACTCTCCCATAGTCAATACATTTCACTCTGAATTCCTTAACAGAATCTTCTTCAGTTCACTGGAAATAACTTAAGAATGTTTGTCATTCCAAAGCCAACTTATTGAGATCTCTATCACCTGGTGTCAAGCCAACTTAACCAAACATGATTGATCAGTAAAAAATATTTTTACCATGTGACCAGATCTCGGCTTGAAACCATTTTTGCAGGAACAAATCAGGCAAATCTGGGTGGGTTCAGTCCATGTTCCCCTCTCACAGAGCTAGCAATGCAATGACATTTACTTTTTTAACATTCCCATAGTACTATGGATTCCCAAGACTTTATAGAAGATTTGCAGAATTCAACAGAAGAGTAACATCTAACAGACAGACCCTTAGGAGAAGACAAGAAGCTATGAAGTTTGTGTTCAGAGTTCCAAACAAAATCTTAGCATTTTTCCGGTGAGGAAATATTTTAATTGCTTCGACACATATAAACCGAATTACAGAGATGTTGTCCCCTTAAAAGTAATAACTTTATGTGTATGCATAGATGATGACCACAATTAACTGCACATGGTGGATGACAAGGGATATCCATGCTATTTTAAAGAGAAGGATTTTTAGATAATGTTGGCTGTGAATAATGAGGAAAGTAAATCACTTTTTTTGCAAAAGTTCAAGGATATTGGTTGCCATAAAGCTATTGGATTACATCACTCATGTTGCATGCATTCAGGGTGTCGACATGAATTTGAGTTTGTATCAAGTATGTCCTCTTTGTTCATTAATTTTTGTTTTATCTGTAGCTTGAACTTAACCCTTTAAGTCCCAGAAGTGATTCACTTGTAACTTCTCCCTACCATTTCCATCCACTCTCCAGCAAACTGGTTATGAGAATACTCAAATGTATCAGGTAGAAGTTGTTGTCTTGATCTAACACTAAATTCTTGCAACTTATTTACAAGGAAATGTGTAGCAGCTAGAGGGGAGAATTAACCAACAGATCCTGGGAGTTAAAGAGTTAAAGAGTTAATAATATATTAATAGTGACCTGGTTGTTCAATTTTAGAGCCTTTTAGTAGTGACTGACCATAACCTAATGCATCAATCAATTTGAAGTTCCCACCTACCCCGCCACCTCCCATTCAGGGAACCCCCAGGTTTTAAACTTTTGGAGTTTGGTTGGTCCAAATTCCACTCTCCTTGGAACCAAAATGGTGTTCAAATGCCCCATCTAAGTGTGGGATTTGATTATCAATTTTTCTGTAAAAGGCAAATTAGTGACTGTGGCTTTCCTGTAAGCCTTTTCTTCTGGGCCATCTACCAGCAGAAGTGACCTTTTTACCTTTCAATGCCCCCATATTAAAAGATAAAACACATTTATTCAGACTTGACTGTTCAGGTGTAAATTCCCTACCCCAACCTTTCGAGGTTCAAATTCTTCACCTTTGGGCTGGGAGGACTGTCAGATGCCTGTGGGTTGCTACTGGTGAGGGGGGGGGGATGAAGCCTTGAATTGATTGGTGCATAACCTTAATCCAATTCAAACATGCACAGGCTAATGAAACAAATTGGAGAATTGTTAGAGGTTTCTTGCTTTCCTGTGAAATTGAAAATTGTTAACCCTTTAACTCCCATGAGTAACCAAGACAGAATTTCTCCTTATAATATCAAGCAGTCAAGTGATGAGAATAAAGGAAAATATAAATTAGGGGATTATAAGTTGATCCAATACCAAATTCTCCAAACTAACATCACAAGAACTGTATAGCAGACTGTAGAGAGAATTATTAATGAGATCTTGGGAGTTAAAGGGTTAATACAACTTTTTCCGAGAGTGGGTGTCTCGTTAGGAAGAAGACTGGAAAAATCTTTTCAATGTCAGGGAAAAGTGACTTTAAATTCAAGTCAAGGAAAAATGAAGTTTAAAGGAAAGAACAGGAAAATGAGAGTTATTTTGAAAGATGATGAACTTAGCAAAAATACCAAGATAATTTAATTTTTTTGGAAAATGCAGTGATAATGTATGGAATTGGAATTTGAATTGGCAGCACTGAGCTCGAGCTCATTGTTAACCCTTTCACTCTGAAGATTTCATCTGCAATTCTCCCTACTGTCTGCTATACAGTTCTTATATGTTAGTTTGGAGAATTTGGTATTGGATCAACTTGTCTAATAATCACCTAATTGACATTTTTCTTTATTCTCATCATATTTGCTGAGTATGGTATTGACGTTGTGAGGGGGAATTGTCTTTTGGTCACTTATGGGAGTTTAAGGGTTAATTTTAAAAGGAAGGAAAGGCTGTCAATAGGTTTTCTGAAGAATTTTGCTTTTCTTGATCTCCACAGGAGAACAAAGAGCACAAGATGACAAAGAACACATGAGAAAATTGTGAAGAATAGCCTGGAATGTAATTGTATGCTGAAGCATCTTAGCAGTTCTCATAGAGGATCTGTTCGTTGTTTCAATTTGTAAATATACATGCAGCTGAATTTCTCACCTCTGTTTGCCTCCATTTGGTCAGAGTACATGACATGTACAAGTCAGATGTCTCCTAGTGAGTATTATGATGAATATGAGAGGCCCTATTTGATATGGGTATTCATAATGCCTTGTATACTTTCCTGGTTCATGAAATTCAAAATAGTTTTTTTTTTGTTCAGAATTTTAACTTTAGTTTGGATCCTATGATATTTTTCGCATTTTCCCTCAAAAAATGATTTAAAAAAGGTGTAATTTGCATTGAGTATACATGTTTGCATTTTCCATAATGCCTTTTACAAAGGTTGTCAGGGGAGGGGAGGGGGGAATTTGGAGACACTCACTCAAAAGCACATGGTGTAGGAAATATTAAAAATGGGTATACAAGTATATGGGTACCATTCACAACAGGCAAAAACTAAATTTTGCTACTTAGACCAAAAGTTATTTTTGCCTCAGCGGAGGCAACAAAACTATTAAATAGTGAGTCGATGAAATTATTTTTCTGTGCTTTGGAGTGATTCTCAAATACTGTCAATTTAAGGCAAAGGAAAGGAAGGGGAAGGTATAAAAACTATTTGATCACTGTTTGCACATAGGATCAGTCAGAATTGTTTCTTGTTTGTGTCTTTTATTAAAAATTCAGTTGGATTCATGATGGTCATTGAACTGAGTGGTGCAATTCAGTCTGACATCATTTTAGTGATTTCAAACTCAAACAAGTGTACAGTGCAAGTTTGATTTGAAATCACAAGTTTGATTTCAGACCAAAATTGCATGACATGAAGTTCAATTACCTTTTTTTTACATCTATGTTGAAATCACAAAATTCAGTTGCTCAAATACAGGATTTTTTAATTCTGTATAAATATTTCATCTATCCAGTATTGAGCTGGTTTGTAAAAAGTTGAAAAATTGACTTCATTTTCTTTAGTGTTTTTTTTTTATAAGCCTTAAAATCTAATTGGTGGTTGTGTTTTAGAAAAGCCTTCTCATTGGCTGGGAAAAACATGTGATTTAGAGTGAAAAATAGCGCAATTTGGAAATAAAATGCACCGATGAGAGCCAATCGGATTTATCACCAGTTATTTCAAAGTGGAAGTAATAAAGATATTAACTTAATACTATGTACAATTAACTCTGGAATTTCTTTAACAAGAATGACTATAAATAACGCATTGAATATTTCCATGATACATATGTACAGTGATGATAAATAAGTAATTATTTGCTAATGAATATTCAACATGGATTACGACCTAAGAGATGTGTACGGTTTTTAGATGGTTTCTCAAAGGTTTTTGTGAAAATAGGATTTAAGTGCAATTGGCTCGTCTTTGAATTATATTAAGGACTTTCTTAACATCCAAATTACGGCGTATCTTTTGGCAGGTCTAGATTTTATTGGCATTGATTATGTAATGTTTTGTCGGATTTGAGTCCAAGTATTTTTTCCCTTTTTAAGAAACAAAGTGAAACACATGTATTCTTAATATTGACTGAAAAAAGTTCTGAAGTGTGTGGAGCGTGGTAGAAGCTACTGAACAGAACAGATGGTTGACTTTCCGTTGGGTTTTTGTAATGCTGTCAAAGTCTTTTTCTTGAATAGCTTTGCTTCTCCTAGAAAACAGAAAATAGATACTTGATGTAGGATTGGAATGCATCCCTCGGTGCTAGCTCAATGTCACGTTTACGTGCTGCATGGATATTTATTGACTTACCCTTTCCTTGCGAAATTAGTCTGGCTACGCAAAGAAATTCGAAAAAATCCACCGTGCCTGAGTCATCTATGTCCACCTCTAACATGGCTTCCTGCAAGCAATAATTAATTGTCTGTAGTTTTTGTAAAGTGATGGATTTTGCCATCTACTATTTCTCGTCAGAGCCCCTCCAAGAATATTAATCATGCAACCCACACTAAAGAATTTTTTTAATTGTTTTATACTTAAATGATGATGGTAAACTTACGGTGGCCCATAGAGGAAACGCTGTCCACTTTTTAAATTCAATTTTATCGGGCGATAAATGGGAAACTTGTGAGGTCGCACGTGATCGGCTGTCACGCACGTTGTTTCCGTGGACGATACAACTGCCATAGTTGAGGAGGCATGTTTTGAGGTCAATAAATCGTTTTATTTTCGTGAAAAGATCATTTTGCAGTACTTGGCGTTACCTCCGCGACACAGCTCTGTAAATCAGTACAGTAAACCTTGATTTTGCGAAATCTTCAGAGACACTTTCAGAGATAGCTGTCAGTGTCTGAGAACAAATGTGAATTATCTAATCTTTCTGATTACATTGCAGGTTTGTAAATTTCTAGACTAAGAAAGAACTTTCCAACTTTGCAGCCATTGTCGTCCCATCCACGGACACAACGCGCGTGACAGCCGATCACGTGCGACCTAACAAGTTTCCCATTTATCACGCGATATTTTGATATTATCGCGCGATAAAATTGAATTTAAAAAGTGGATAGCATGTCCTCTATGGGCCACCGTATGAACCAAATTAATTTTTTTTTTTGCTTAATACATCATAATTACCTTTATTTCTTCAGTGGTTGCCATTCTACCTAACGTATCTGGTATTGCTCTCAATAACTGAAAAGACAGGAAATTAAAACATGTTCATTCACAGTGAGGTAGTGGCTGCAATTTACTACTTTAGAAAATTACGCATTTACTTCAAACATGAGAGAGCGTATTTTAACACCCCTGGGAACCAAAGGGGTAACCAGTGAGTTACTATTTTGAATGACGAAAATAAGAAAAAAAATTTTGATAACGATCCGCTATATTTAACAATCGGTCCGCCATCTGCTCTTCCCAAACTCCTGTAACCATGCTAACGCCGCGAAATTTACATATCGCATATTCACGAGTTAAAAAATGTAACAAAGATTCTTTTCCTTCCATACCTCTTGTGTATCAAGGTTGAAGTCGTCGTTGGTGTCGAATCTCTTAAACTGCTCAAACATCATTTGAATCTAGTAAGAAATCAAGGATTATTCTAAATGCAAAATGCTAGGTGGCTTCGTGGTTTTTTACAACAGTAAAATTGAAATCAAAGTCTTTTACCGATTAACTTCTGCTTTTTTTTTCTTCGGGAGCAAAAGTAGGATCATTGAGGGAAAGTCATGCAGGATTGCATTGTTTTTGATCTCGGCGTTGTGATTGGTCTAGAAAACTTATGCCACCCTCTCAACCAATCAGCTACCAAACTAAACCAAGCGCAGCCTGCACACCGTCGTTTTCCCGCGCTTTTTCACAATGAGTTCTCATTAGATCCTTGTGAGCTTTTCCTACGCTCTTAATGGTTGTTGTGATTACTTTGGTGACGATTTCAGAAAAGTCAGAACTCGATAAACACCAAGTTAGCAAAGATTGGATCATTGACAATCATGGGTCAACGCATTCGGCCTCAAGAGAAGCATAGATAGGGAAAGATCCCTTGAACAAGAACTCAAAACAAGGGCCACGTCTAGCACGCTGGACAGATCGTTCTTTCTGGAGTCCAACAAGGTACCTATCCCGGGGTCAACTTATCTGTGATTAATATTTCTGTGATGGAATGTTACCTCTTCGTCAGACCACTCAGGGAAGTGTTCTTTAGCCTCTTTTATGAGCGGTTTTCCAAGCTTTGTATCAACAAGCCTCGGATGAACGCCGGTAACTGTCGATGTAAGTCAGTCAGATTAGAGTCATTTAAATATGAACTGCATAGGGTTGCTGACTAACTGAGAGACGTCGACTAAACTGACTGAGCGACCAGCCTACTTGACCGACTGCTAACTAACTGGCTGACAGATGCACTGACTTACTGGCTGACCAAATGACCGAGAGAACTAATCTTATGAGAAAAGATTGACCAAAATAAGCCTGTGGCTGTTTTATGTTTCCATGCATGTCCAGTTAAAAGTTTCAACTAAAGAACGGCAAGGCAAGAGGACTTTTTTTTTTTTTTACAGCCGGTCAAATTTTATTGATAAAATATGTATGGAAGTGGTATGGACGTGGGCATAGTCAATTATTTTATGACATTTTGCACTATGTGCACTTTGCACTATCAATTTAACTAATCACATGGCTGGATTGGCATCAGAGATGGCGACTTAATTTGTAACCTGATGGGCTATGCCCATAGTGCTCCCGTATACCCTTCGTGAACGAAAATAACAGACGGTCACTGGTGATCTTAAATAACTGTTATCTGTTAGACTTTCATACCTTTGGATGATTTTTTCGAAAACTTTCTGACATTCTCTCTGGCACTTGCTGACCTGCCTTCCCTCCACCCCGTCAATAATGGATGATTGATATCAATTCTGCAAAGATTTCATCAAAGATAAATATAAATGAGTGAAAGGTAAACTTTGAACTCGAGCCATGTAGCTCTTCAGCCGCAGCTTATTCCGATTTCCATAGCATGAAGCGAGTAGGAGTATCACTACTCCTCTCTGGGTAGGGATGCCAATCCTCTGCAAGGCTACTCCTCTTTTCCAGCCGCCCCCTCCTCGAATATTTCATCAGGCACCCCTGAGAATTCGCTGGTACCCATTTATACTCCTGGTTAGAGAGAGACATTGTGAAAATAATTTGTCTTGTCTAAGAATACAGGAATGCAGCACAATGACTCAGTCAGGTCTTGAACCCAGACCTTTCGACGCAGAGTTCAGCGCACTGACTGTAAGGCTGACTGTAATTGAGACGTGAAAGCGCGGAAGATATTTATCGAAATTAATAAAAGTCTTAAACATTTTTTTCACCTGAATTCACTATCTTCAACTTCTTGTAGATGCAATTCCAAATCCTCGAAAGGCCGTGAAAGCTTTTTACCCAATGGATGGCCAGAAAGATCCTGCATCACCGTGACACACATACAGAAAAAATAGTCAATATCTAGATACTAAGAGCTCCCAGGTGGTTAAAATAAGGAACCCAACAATAGTCATCTGATGAAAAGTTCGGGTTAATGTTGGGTTAGGGTGGGAGGGGTAGGTGCGCAGTTGCTTAGATACTGGTTTGCTCCATAAACACTGCCTGTCTCTACCTATCTTAGGTAAGTTTTGCATTCGTCAAATCAACCATTAGCGCTCAAGATTCCACCAAAAAATAACTAAGGACCAAAATGGTAACCAAAAATATGCTATTAGTGAGGATCTTTCGGCGTTTGTAAGCGTTTATACGACCTACCACTGTTCCGAGTCCTTTTAATCTGTTTGTTTTTGTATCAACTTGCCGCACTTTTTGAATCGTTCTTCCAGCCGAGAAAGATTTGTTTGAGATTGAAAATATTCAGAAGTATGGCTTGTTACCTCATTTATTCCAAGATAGTGAGAGGGTAACGTCGCTCTGAATTCCGTCAAAGTTCCTAAAGTAAATGTTACATTAAAATCAGGTTATCCACATTCTACATACGAACCACATAGATTTCCAGTTAAGATATTTAACACATAGATTCCATATTGATGGAGGAGATCAGTTCTAGATCATAGATGACATCAAAATTAGTTTCCTGGCGTATTAGGCCACGCATGATGTTGGGAGGAAATTCGACAAGTTTGCAAATCACTTGTCTCCGACTCCTAATTTACACACTTTTCTCGTGTTCTCTCAACATCTCGCGTGGGTGAACTATGCTGGTAACCCAATAGAAAGTGCGGTCCACTGCCTAAATTGACGTTAGGCATTAACTCGAGCTCACCTTCTTTCGCTGCCACGTACATTTTATTCAGCATTGAGGCATATGCTTTTTGATCTTTGTTGTATTCTTTCACCGTTAGATGTTGTCTTTCCAGCATAATTCTGAAATTAAGTATTAAAAGGTTTTAACCATGTTATACAGTTATTGTGCCAACAGTTACAGATCTAGACATCGACTCGAGTGAACTGTAATGAAGAGCAGTTAATAGCAAGTTATGTCCATGTTGGGGTGGCTCACCTGAAATCTCGACTTAACCCGCTTATAAATCCAACATAATATTTTTGCTGTTTCTGGATTTCGCCCTCCGCCACCACCAATAACTGAAAGGCAAAGTTAATTGCGGCTATGAGTCGTGGCTCCTTACAAATTGGGCATATCCCGCTCTGTTGGTTTGACTGGCAAGACTAATTTTCGATTGAGTGTTGTATAAGCGAACTAAGCTAATAACAGTGACCCATCAAAACAGAGGAATTATCATAACAGGCCAATGAAAAGTCAACGTGGTAACAAGTAACCTGGCAAAAGCGCGCGAAAACGCCGGTGACCAAGTCACGATTCGTTTTAATTGTACATTTCATTGGTTGAGAGGGTAGCGCGAGTTTTCAGGACCAATCAGAGAGCGAGATAGACCAAGACCAATATAGTCCTGGATTAATCTCACACTCAGTGCTCTATCTGTTCATCTCTGTTTTCAGTTCATCTACTTCACGTATTTTGTTTGCATGACCTGTTACTATATGCACCACTTTCTCTCGCTCTTGCAAGTCATAGCGAATTTAAAACTGCAAACCCTAATACGTACTCTGTCCTTGAGGAATAATTGCTGCTTTATTTTCTCCATTTCACTTGAGGAAACATGTGGAACTAGAGAGAAGACGTGTGAACAAATATAAAACAAATCTTAACACTAGGGCATCAATGAAAGAGAACTTGTAAAGTAAAAATTTTCATTTGACATCCGAATAAAAATCGAGCAGAGATGATCCTTGCAAGAGAGCTGCAATTGCAGAGAAGAATTCAGGCTTCGACGGGATTCGAACCCCTAAAAAATTTGCCTCGCTACCAACATGAGGCTTCGTAGCACAGTTGGTGGTAGCGCCCAACTAGTGTGTGAGAGGACTGGGTTCGATTCCCGTCCGCCAAACTTTTTTCAGTCTTCTTTCCAGCAGTCCACCGGCGATGATTAATTTTTTCCTCGATCAAATAAATTGTGATTTACATATAATTACTGATTTATAAATTCACCTGCTCCACACGTTCTCACCGTCCCATTCTTGACATCTTTCTCCATTTTAAGATATTTAACTTGATCCATAAGCTCCTATGAAACCAGCAAATATCCAAAGATAAATAATCAAGCCCGGGAAGGTCTGGTGCCCAAAGTGACGGCCTTGCAACTTAAGTTTTCATGTTTTTGTTTCCAAAAAGATTTTAATTCGACTGAACAGCGAAGAGTTTTTTGATCGTCGAGTGTCATCTCTCGCCTTTACACGAATGGCTTAGCCAGATGGAAGAATAGCAAAATTACATAGTCCTCTGTAGCTTTTTAATCTACAGTTCCACCTTTATATTCTTTTAATAACGACGGATCCCCTCTCCGCCCTCCTGAAAA